CTCACATCGTTAGCACTAGCGTCTACACCTGACGACACCCATGAAGCCCCTTGCTCCACCTCTAGTGCCCCCTACTCTACCTCTGGCACCTGTTCCATGTTACCACCCTACCTCCCCCACTCTCAGTGCCTATAGCCCTCGTAAAGGAAGGACACCCCTCAATGTCATGCCTACGCCCCTCGATTCAATGTCAGCTCATCCCGAAACTTTGTCCCCACATCATTGGAGACTCTATGTAGACAGTTCATCAACCAATCAAGGGAGTGGAATAGGCCTCGTACTCATCAACCCCAACAAAACTCCCCTTAAATATGTCGTATCTTTTCATTTTTTAGCATCCAACAACAAGATAGAATATGAGGTCATCATCTCAGGGCTGAAATTGGCAATCGAAATGGAGGTCCACCATCTCACTACCACAATGACTTCTAGGTCGTAGTAAACCAGGTAAAGGAAGATTTTGAAGCAAGGGATGAAATGATGCAAGAGTACCTAGCAATGGTACATACCTTATTGGTAAAATTCCATCATTTTTAGATTCAACATGTGCCAAGAAAGGGTAATGTGATGACAGATCCACTCGCTAAGTTTGCCTCATCCTTAGACATCCCACTGGGCCCTGCCTTTATAGGTCACCAATTTGAGCCAAGTAGGCACAGAACAGATATGGAGAGTGTCAACTGCACAACTACAGGCCCAGATTGGACTACACCTATCCAATCATATTTAAAGGAGGGCACACTCCCAGGTGACCCAAAGGAAGCCAAGAAACTAAGACTAATGGCGTCTAGATATGTTATCCTATAAGGCACTCTCTACAAGAAAAGCTACTTGATGTCATTGCTCCGCTGCTTCTCTCTAGATGAGTCCAACTACGCCATAAGAGAGATTCATGAAGGAGTATGCATAAATCATTATGGAGAACGCTCTCTAACCCACAAGGCTACTACTGGCCTAACATGATTGGAGATGTTCGAGACTTTGTGAAAAAATGTTAAAAGTGTCAACGCTTTGCCACTGTGCCGAGATAACCACCAAAAGAGTTGACCACCATTATTTGCCCTTGGCTATTCTCTAAGTGAGGTATCGACATCCTAGGCTTTCTGCCTATGAACCACGGCCAGTGTAAATTCATCGTGGTGGCCATTGACTAATTCTCTAGATGGGTGGAAACCGAGCCGTTGTATCTAGGCCACATGAGTATGATTTTCTTCATTTCTTATCTAATCACTTGTGCATATAATTGACATGTCTACATGCTGACCAAGTGCATTTTTATTTGATCATCGTCGAACCATAGTGACATTTTTATACTAGACACAACATCCAAAATTTTCCTCTTCAGTGAGTGCAACTCTAGAATACAAGAAAGAGCTAAAGCTTTGGATATTGTTCAATATATCAAAGAGAATAAGCACAGTGAAAACTATGAGATTATAGCTATAGGTTGGAACTTGTATACTCTGTTTATATTTTATTCAAGAAAGGAGGATAGAGATGGTTACGATCAGAAATGCAAACTACAATAGCCGCATAAGCAAGAAATACAACTCGAGGGTGAAGTCTCGATCCTTTTTACCTAAAGACTTGGTCTTTAAAAAGGTAATACTAGCCACTAAGGACTCACGAGATGGGAAGTTAGGACCGAACTGGGACAGGCCTTACACTGTGACAGAGATTGTGAGGTCAGGCACTTATAGAATCCAGAAGTCTAAGGAAAAGGTTTTACCCTATCCATGGAATATTGAATACCTGAAGAAGTACTACCAATAGTGCGACAAGACAAAGGTAGCAGTACAAAGCAACATGAGTTTGTTTTTTATTTTGTGTAGTCGTTTTGTACTTTTTAGGGGGCCACCAACCCACCGGTGTTTACCACAAATAGTTATTAAATAAAGGGTCAAGGATGCATTACAGAAATTGTATAGCTTTTCATTTCACAAAAAAGTTCAAAAACAACAAACAACACAGGCCGACACAAAAAAAAAAGACAAAATCTATCAAACATTCTCCATCGTCATCACCACCTACACCTGGCTCCTTATATGGAACAAATGCAGAAAAGTCTATGCTGGGAAAGGATGCTGAAGCTTTCCCTCTGAACTATTCATAACTATCAATGAAAACATCTGCTACACTATCCTGCAAGTCATGAACAGCCTTCTCTACAACCTCTGTCCTCCTCTCCTTTTCTTAGGGTCAGCCTTTGTTCTGGTAGCCCTCTCATGAGTAACATGAAGCTCTATCTTTGCTGCAAAAACCTCTCGTGAGGTACTCACAACTTTGTCTCTACTGTGGTAGCCCTCATGAGCAACTTGCATCTTTGTATCAGCTCTGATAGCCTTCTCATGAGCTGACTGCAACTCTATCTCTGCTCTCACGTAAGCAGCCTCAGTCTTAGCCTTTAGCTTAACCTCTCTTTCGTAAGCCGTCAAAAGCTCAGCCTCAAGAGATGCAACTCTCTTTTGAGCCACCCTCAACTACTCCTTAACAACCTATAGTGTATGTCTCTCCTTTATTAGAGTCATTGATACACCCTCATGTGATGGGTTGCCCTCGCAAAAAGATATGTAGCGTTCATGGACACCTACAAACTTGCAAAAAGAGAAAAAGGTTAACGTCATTAGAAGATATGAGAAAAAATATGCTATAGAAAAGAAGTGCAGATGATTACCTTGGCCAAGCCCTCTATCATGGTGTCAATAATACCATCGATACCCTGATAGCTAACTTCTTTAATGTCTAAAGGCGACATGAAACTTGAGAGTGGATCCTTAGCAATATTCATGTCCCAAAGTATAGACAGTGTACCATTATTGGACATTGAAGAAACAAGCGGTGCTCTGGTCTATACGGAAAAGGAATCCCCGCTTCTAGAGATGCCCTAACTGGCAATGGTAGCCAAGGGAGATGTCCGGATAATTGGAACAGGTGGAGGCGACACTTCCAAGGAAGCTTTGGGGGCATCGTCAAATCTTACCCTCTTGGGTGGAGGAGTTACCTAAGCAGCCCTTGCGGAGTAGATAGCCTCCACCCTCGATCTAATTACTATGGAGCCTAAGTAAAGGGAGGCATTTTTAGAAATCAAAAATACCATCATATTCACCATTAAAATTACTTACCTCTTTTCTTGGAAGAAAAGCCACAAGCTTGCGAAGAATATGGAGTGCAAAAACCTTCTGATGGGAAAATTCCAGCTTGACCCTTTCCAGCCATGAGAACCGTATAAGCCCTAACAAGGTGGACCCCCAAAGCCTGAAGCCTCTTCCCCTAATCTGTTGACAACTCTGGAAAACCAAAAAAATAGTTAAATTCTTGGTGAAGACGTAAAGAACACATCGATTGAATGGTGATAAGAAAGGGAAAGATTTATACCTATCCTCTTGGGTGCACCCCACCTTGCTGGATCTAGAATGCAATCCTCCTCGGTAGCCCACTCTCCTCCCAAGAATAAAAGTTGAGTCTTCAAACTATGAAAGTTAGAGTATAGCCCATTAATTAACTTTCTTACCCTCGAAGAAAAGTGATACCAACCTCGATTAGGAGTAGGGTTCTCCTATAATTTATAGGCGGCGAAAAATTCTCCACAATTAGGAGATGCACTAAAGCCATGCACCCGTTGCCACAATGAAAGAAATGCTAACAATCCTCTCCAAAAATTTGGAGTTAAATACACTGGCATGAGAGACAACTGCGCCAAGATACGACACACAGACATAGGGGAATTTCAAACCTGCCTCTAGTACCACTTCATAGATGGCAATATCCCTAGATAAATCATTGGAAGTCGGCTTGCCCATCTCAGCCCGACGACACAAAATAGTAGGGGGAATAAACAATTAAGATGATTCTAGCAATTTTAGCATTAGTATTGATAATGCTAGAAATAGTGCTCACCTTAGAGCCATCATCGTCAACAGCTATTTTTCCACGAAGTTTGCATAATTATGGATGCTGGGCAACATCGTTTCTATCATCACCAATCCCACAACCCATAGACTGGTTGTCTATTTGCACCGTACAGCGAACGTCATCTTTGAGCACCTCGTTCGTGCTTTCATCTGCTCCGCGTACACCTGAGCCCCCCGCAACATGTCACCCATCGGTTAAGCCACCGAAGCCCAATGCCCTTGGTGTCTTCATCATGCCGCCTAGCACCTAGCGCCCATGTTATGTCATCTGATGCCTAATGCCTTAGTGCCCTTGGCGTTTGCATCATGCCACCCGGCGCCTAGTGACCTAGCGCCCTAGGCACCCGTCACCTGTCACCCAGCGCCTTTGCGCATGCCTACGCCACACTATCCATGCCACCCATCTGGCCCACTACACCTGCCTACGCCTCACCTAGTGCACCAATGCTTGCCTAGCTGACACCCTCGTCCATGGCGCCAAGCCTTTGCTCCTCACCTTTCTCACCCATCTCGCTCTTTTCCTTTTGCCCCAAAGGTGTAAGAAGAGTCTCTTTAGCCTTCAAGATAAGTGTTTGATGCTCTATTGAAAGGACTAATCAAAGAGTTCTTACTTTCAAAGTAACTCTGCTATTAAAAGAATTCCCTATTTAAAGGACTAATCAAAGTGTTCTTGTTGCCAAAGTAACTCTGCTATGAAAAGAGTTCTGTTGCTAAAAAGACTGTTGCTGGTAAAATAGTTATTTCTCAAATGAAGGGTTTATTTTATTACTCATGCTGGTTGGGCCTCACAAATGTGTCTACCTCTCCCTTATCAAAGTACCTTGAGAACTATGACTTCAACCATTCAGAATGAAGGTTTTCATTTCCCACGAATGGAACATTGCACATAAAAATTCTACTTCATCATAAAATTGTGGTTGAAGTTCAAAATTTAGTGGAAAATAGGCGTTTTTAGGATAATTCAATGCCCAAACCACTACAAGCTGTTTGATTCTGGTAGATTTGGAAAAATTATTCAAATTTAAAAAAAATCACTTCAAATAGACAATCGAGCACAAAGTTATGATCTTTCATAGTTTTGCCACTTCTTTATGCTTTTTTCATACTCCACCAGTGCCAAAAACCAACTAAGCGCCAGCAGCTATAGCCAGGCACATAGCAGCCACAGCCAAGCACCCAGCACCCTCGTGCCCACGCCCGGATGTCAGTGCCCTCACCCTCGCGCCAACGCCCAAGCTTCACCGGTGCACCAGCGCCCGTGCCCATTGTCGTGCACCAACGCCAGTGCCCATTGTCGTGCCAACGCCAATGCCCATTGTCGTGCCTCCCAGTCGATAGATCTTCGCCAACTAAACTTTGATCTTCGCCAACTAAACTTTCTCGCCCATATTTAGCCTGCTAGAAAAGATATCCATGAATTTTTACTAATGCCCTCTCCGCCAAATTCCATTGGACTTCGGGCATAGGGGCCAAATGATGAGCCCAGCCCAGACCATGCTCAGAATTACAGATGAGGCACAGAATTGCAAATCAGACCCAGATCACAGATGTATGATTAACCCTAATTAATGCATAACTTAATTAAGTTAATAGGTCAATTGTGTTAGTTAAACAAAGTTAAACTAGTCAAAATAAATCAAATTAGGGTTAGTATGTGAATTAGGGATAATGTATTGATTGTTATTCTCTTCAGGATTTTGTGTTTCAAAACTATAAATTACTGGGGAGCCAATTGCATCAAAGCTACAAACTACTGGAGAGCCAATTATAAAAGCTATAAACTATAGGGTGCTAATTACTAAAGCTACAAACAATAGGGTGCCAATTATCAAAAGTTCAAAAGGGAGGGGATCAAAGTGTAATTCAAGCCCTCCCTTTTTGCCTATAAATACCACCCCTTGGGTCTTGTAAAGATCATATTTTTTCTTGTATCATCTTTCTTGTAAAGAGTATCTTTTGATAGTGAAAAACCCTCCAATAGTTATTGTTGCTTTCTTGTATCATCTTTCTTGTAAAGAACATCTTTTGATAGTGAAAAATCCTCCAAAAGTCATTATTGCTTTCTTGTATCATTGTTTTCTTGAAAAGGGCACCTTTTGGTACTGAAAAATCCTCTAAAAGTCATTATTGTTGTCTTATTATTGCTTTCTTTTCTTGTATTATTGCTTTCTTTTAATTTATTGCTTTCTTTTATTTCCATTATTTTGAGCTTCCTTCTTCCTTTAGAGGAATGAAACTCTTCCACTTTTCTAGAGCTTTGTGAAAGCCGTGAAGGGTGGAACGTGATTCACTCATTCTATGTCTAAGATTAGCTTCGTGTGTAATATGTTTTAACTTGAAACTCCTCTACTTGGAGGGATGAGCATCACTCACTTTTCTAGCTTTACCAAAGCCATGAAGAGTGAGTAGTTACAATCCAATCTTTAGTAAGATGTGATGGACATGTATAATTATCCGGAAGTTATATTTGTGCATTTCGTTTATGCTTAGCTCCAATCTTCATTTCTTCATAATGTCTTCTCATTACATTATTGTCTTTACCCTAAGCATAAGTAGCTAAGCCTTTAAGTTGGCTAATCCAAGGGAGACCTCCTCTTGGGTATGTCATTTCAATTCAATTTTCCTTCCCCCCCTCTCAGAGTACGATTGTCCGATTTAACTGGGTAGAGGGTAGATGGGATTATGAGTCTTTGATATCTCATAGACTTGTCACGGGTTATGCTTAGATCCTTACTTCCATATCGTCCCTAGCTTCCCACGAATCAATCGTACATATATGCTCTATTGGATGAAGGATTTGAGTTGAATTGGTATTCCTTTGGAGTGAACCCTTTGGATTAGTCAACATTTGTTCTATTTCATTTTCATCACAATCACAAACCAACCTTCAACAAACAAAAGATTTTACACTTTATTTTTACAAAAATCACCTTCATAATGACACGCCTCTTTCCCTGAGTAGACGACCTTGGAATACGATTCCAAGTAAAACACGACAAACAAAAGTCTCTCTACACTTGGGGAGCATTTTTTTTTCATACACATTTCATTCACCCACCATTCCGTTGTCTTTCCTTTTGATATAATTCCAAGGGAGAGTATACTCCCCTCCACACATAGACTATACGCATTGAGGGATGATGTTCGGAGATTAGAATATACTACAACATAAATAATTAAGCATTTTTTGTGCCGTTACTGGGGAAGGCAAGTGTCGAATCAAGAAGGTGATTTATGGACAACAGAGTAAGTCCCGTAATGTTCATCATGGGCTGAGGTACGTTGATCCTTGTATATACTTTTGTTTACATTTTGATTTGTAGATAGTTCTGTTATATATGGGGTTAGGACAAATAAAGCCGACTAGTTGGACAACCCTTGGGCCCCAACCAATCTAAAACATGCAATGGGGTGGGGGAGGACAAGAACCTAGAATGCCCAATCCACAAATGGAATTTTCCCCTCCCGTGAATGAAGGGAACAACATCCACATTGAGCCTCCGGCAAGGTCAATGAGGAATTTCCTTCAATCCACACGAAGCACCACACCCTCATACATCCTCCTTCTAGTCCAAGCTCATCTCTTCATAGTTAAGTCAGGGATGTTGCAACTACTTCCCACTTTCCACGAAATTGAAAAGGAAAACCCCTATTTGCACATAAAGGATTTCGAGAAAATAGTTGCAATATTCCTCACCACTCATGGTATGGAAGACATAGCTAGGCTAAAATTGTTCCCTTTTTTCCTAAGAGATAAGGCAAAAACATGGCTTAATTCCTTGAGGCCTCGATCCATAACATCTTGAAACGAAATGCTCTCTGAGTTTAAAAAAAAAACTGGTGCATAAAACCACCACTTTAAAAAAACAAATTCAAAACTTTTTGGAGAATCCCAATGAGCAGTTCTACCAATGTTGGGATCAGTGCAAGGAGTTGCTACAATTCATTCCACACCATGGCTTTGAACTGTGGTAGTTGGTGAGTTTCTTCTATGAGGGAATCATACCGGGCCATCGATAGTTCATAGATATGATGTGTAATGGGGAGTTTTTGAGTAAAAACCCCGATAAGGCCTTAGACTACTTTGATACATTGGCTCAAAATGCACAATTACGGGACATTACGGATTCCACTGATGTACCAAGGTCTTTTCATCAAGGGAATAGGCAAACTCATGGGGGAGGAATTTACAACTTGAGAGACCGGGAAAACTTGCTTTCCAAAATTGTCAAATCTAGGAAGGTTGAGAGTCTTGAGGTAAATAGGAGACACAAGGTGTCAAATGTTTGCAGATCATTCTATATCGGAGTGTCCTAACATTCCGGCACTTAAGGAAGTGTATCACAAGCAAGTCAATGCCTTTAACCAAATGAGGCAATCTTTCTCTCCACATTCAAACACTTACAATTCGGGTTGGAGCAATCACCTAAACTTTAGTTGGAGAAATGAGAATCCCACTCCTCAAGGTTCATATGCATACACACCTCCCGTGTCTCCTAGGCAAAATAAATTTCAATCCCAAGGTCAAGCGTCTAGTTCCTAATACCCCCAGACCAATCCGCAAAGGTATTTTTCAAACCCACCACCACAAAATTTTTCACCAAGTCTACCTCCACTAAGCTTTTTCCAAGGACCATCCAATCCTCCCACCTATCAACCTCCCCACAAGAGGAATTTAGAAGATATGGTTCATACTTTCATTCAAAGTCGGACTACCGTCAACAATCAAAATGTCACAGCTTTTAATGACATTTGAGCCCAACTCACGAAGCTGACAAGCTCTATGGGGCATCACAACAAGAGAAAGGAAAATTCCCCACTCAACCCCAAGAGAACCCTAGAGGTCAACATGTCGTTGAGTTATCGGAGCCCTTAAGAGAGAGTTGTGAGCAACTCAAGGCGATTATCACCCTTTGTAGTAGCAAACAAATTGTTAAGACCATTGTATCAAAAGTCTCACGCAAGACCACATTGCCAAAAGAAAAAAGACCACGGGTGACACCATCGAGGGGGAGTGAGTGAGAAGAGAGAAAGTGAGGTAGTTGAGAATAAAAAATTTGTTGATGAAAGTGTGTTTGTTTCCCCATGCCTACTCCTTTTCCCAATCACTTGAAGCCACTCGTCAAGGTGGCTAATTATTCTGATATCATTGAAATGTTTAAGCATGTGAAAATAAATATTCCACTCCTTGACGCGATAAAGCAAATTCCATCTTTTGCAAAGATCTTGAAGGACTTATGCACTGTGAAGAAGAGGCTCAATGTTCACAAGAAAGCATTCCTCACAGAGCAAGTGAGTTTGATTTTGAGGACCAACACCCCTCCAAATTTTAAATACCCCAGCTGCACCACTATTGCTATAACAATTGGGAATTGTCGGGTGGAGCAAACACTCCTTGATATAGGGGCCAGTGTAAACCTCTTTCTGTACTCAGTGTACCAAGAACTTCAGCTCGAAGAATTGAAGCCTACTACAATCACGCTTCAACTGGCGGACTATAGTCCGGACACTAAGGGGAGTAGTTGAGGATGTTTTAGTGTAAGTCGATAAATTTTACTTTCCTATTGATTTTATTGTGCTTGACACTCACCTGGTTGCAAATCTTAACTCCCAAATCCCTGTAATACTTGGTAGACCTTTTCTTGCTACATCTAATGTTGTGATCAATTGCAGGAACGGTCTTATGAAGCTAGCATTTGGGAACATGACTATGGATCTCAATGCATTCAATTTGTCCAAGCAATTGAGGGATGACAAGGAGGCACATGAGATTAACCAGATCAACACCTTGGTAGAGGAGCATTGGGAGCAAATGAGCACCTTCAAGTTGGAAGAAGATGGAATTATTGATATAAAAGCGGTTGATGAGCAAGATGAGTTGGAGAGTTTGAAAAGGGTGGAGAGATGGACTCCCACATTTGAAAAACTTCCACATTAAGAAAAGAAAATATTTCCATCAAATGTACAAAAACCTGTGTTGGAATTGAAGCCATTACCATCCCACTTGAAGTATGCATATCTTAGAGAGGAAGAATCTTTTTTGGTGGTGATTAGCTCAACCTTGGATCCAAAGCAAGAAGAAGATTTCTTGAAATTGTTAAGGAGACATAAGGAGGCGATTGGTTGGACAATTGCCGACATAAAGGGTATAAGCCCCCTCATTTGTACTCACTGCATCTATCTTGAGGATGACTCCAAGCCGTCTCGACAACCACAACGAAAGTTGAACCCAATCATGAAGGATGTGGTAAAAGACGAGGTCTTAAAGCTACTTAACGTGGGCATCATCTTTCCAATTACTGATAGTAAATGGGTTAGCCCCACGCAAGTAGTCCCCAAGAAGTCGGGAGTCACCGTGGTGGCAAACGATGATAATGAGTTTATTCCAATGAGGG